CCTGCAAACGGCGGCGGGTCGTTGCCGTTGTACAGATCGTTCACCACTGTGAGCTGACATTAGTGTCTGCTTTGACAAATTCAGTTTTATTTATACAGCAACGAATCCGGGAGGAGAAGCTCACATCTCAGCCTGCAGCCAGAATTAGCTTTACAGACACATGACTACAGGTGAACAGGCGAGGGGTGGTCAGCTGATTGGAGCCAGTCAGCTGAACTGTGTGACACACGGGGCGGGTTAAAATAAAGGCTGGTGTAGATTACCAACGCTCTGTCTCCCGACAGGCCCAGAGTCTCCTTACACCCACTGGAAGCAGACCGTCTTCTACCTGGATGATTACCTGACTGTGAAGACTGGAGAGGAGATCATTGGCACCGTCAGCATGAAGCCAAATGTCAAGAACAATGTAAGCACGGCTCGGCCGCTCTTTGCTTCGATTCATTTGTCTTTGTGTAACCTGACCTGCTGTCTCTGCAGAGGGACCTGGACTTCACCATCGACGTGGACTTCAGGGGCCAGCTATGTGAGATGTCAAAGACGCTGGAGTACAGGATGCGTTAGACGCCTTTCCCTCCGTTCCTGTTTTGTCATTAGTAGAGGACAGATACAGAGTCTGAGCGATAGTCTGACGCTCCCGCAGCAACATTTTAAAGACATCACTTGTTCAAACATTAACAGTATTTAAATGGTTTTTGTGGCTTTCAGTTCCAAGTGCATTGGCGTGGTGCTTCATTGTCATATACACTCAACAAAATGTATGTTAGCATACGAAGGTTTGTCCCAACACCTCGTTGGGTTCTTTGGGGTTCTGTTTATTTTGCATGGGAGAAGTTAACACAGACGCAAACTCAGCCTGTCCTTCATTGAACGGTAACCATGGCGTTGGAAAGGACGCTGTTTGTAGACGGTTGCTGGACTGATTCTTGCTGGACTTTTAGGCCACACCCCTTCAGTTCCACCTTTCCTCAGCTTGAGAGCAGTGTGTCGATGGTAACAGCTGTGTTGGCACTCTGCACAGACCGCTCTGACATTCTCAGTTTTCTCTTTTGTATTGTTTCTGGCTGCCACTTTTTCTTTTTTTTAAAAATAAAATTCATAAACTGTACATCTAACTTTCTGAGTTGTGACGCTCTCCCAGCATCTTTGTAGAAAATCTCACCAAACAATGAATTGTTGCTTCCATGTTCAGGTGTTTACTGCCCTGAACAACAGTTCTTCACATTTTACAGCACTCTGTGGACTCTCATTACATTAAACATGACATGTTTGGGCCTTGGGTGTTGGACACTCTTAAATTGATTTAGGGACTTTAGAGATGAGGCCAGAAACTGTTGGACAGATGCTGGTTAATTGATCACAAAAAAGTAGGACTTTATCGGTTGGACCGTTAACTTAAATTTGTCGAAATTGTTTAGGCGCTAAAGCTGACAGATGTGACAGTCACGCCAGTGAAGCTTAAGACCCTTAATGAACCGAACATCAACTCAAAATAAGCACAGATATGCAATGTGTATAACATAGTTATAACTGCATCTGAAATACAAGGTTAATATGATATCTATGCATAAACATCTTAAGGCCATCTTAAAGCTGTCTGTTACCTTGTTAAAGCAATGATCATACTGCAGATTATATTATGCTGGTAAAATACTTTTGTTCATCCCCACACCATGAAGTCTAGAAGTTTAAAGGAAGTAGCGTTGGTTACTGTTCCCAGTGACAACACAGGTTCTGATCGATGCCACGTTCTGGCCCGCATCCTGAATTCAGACGTACGAACTCTGAATATGGGAAACAACGTTTGGGCTCACGTGGTTCTCGTGCATGCAGAAGAGTCTGTGGGGGACATGCGGTGAGTCGTGTGTTAAAGCGCTGTCAGAGAAGATCTCAGTATAATAATACTCGAGTATATAATACTCGAGTATAACAAACACTCGCCCACATGCTTGATGCTAGTCCCGAGTTGGTCCCTGCTGCCTCAGTATGTATGTGCACGACTTGTGTAGGCGAAGCGTGGAGAAGTGTTGTATAAAGAGCTTTGATTGCTCGGGTAGGATAGAGAGGTGTCACATAAACAGTGTCAGCGTTGTTTATCAGCTGGTTCAGTCCCAACTAAACTGTCCTACATGAAGCCTCTGATGGGTAAGCACGAATGACCACAGACCTTCAGCATTGTTGTTTCACCATGAACTGGCCACCATCAGGTGCTCGCCGCGAGAGCCGAGGAGCAGCTGCAGAGAGACGAGCTCACAACACCCCATCACTGATGGAGCACGTTTAGTTTGCTGACCAGCCTGTGAAATACTGGGAGCCTGATCGCATGATAATGTAACCAAACTCTGGATGCTGCACAGAAAAACAGCATGGCAGCAGTGCAGTTTGGGGGCAGGACCATGGGGCTGGTTTCTAACATTCAGCTGCTTCATATAACTGAAGGAAGGAAAGACGCTACGAGACCGTCTAGATAAACATCCGCTGCCATCGACCAGGATGATGAAGGTGAAATGAGTGAACGTGTCATCAAACAGCTGAGGTTTGAGTGTATAGACGGGCCCATCACATCATCACTAACAAAAGCTTTGGTGTGAACTCTCACTGAGTTTGTACAATACTTATATCAGAATCAGAAAGGGCTTTATTGCCAAATGTTGAGCAGGTTTACAACATTAGGTACTTAGTGCAAACATGCTGTCATATAACGCTTAAATAGACATGAGAATAAGAATTAAAAGTGCTAAGTAGATAGATATATACATGATATATACATGAGTGCAGGTGGTGATCAGTGCTAAACATGGAATGATGCAGTGAACACAGCGTAGGGTCATGTGTTAGTGGTGGGGACAGTCATATGGTTATTGTTCATGTGTCCAACAGCAGAGGGGAAGAAACTGTTCTTATGGCGAGAGGTTCTGGTGCGAATGGACCGGAGCCTCCTGCCTGAGGGGAGCAGGTCAAACAGACTGCGTCCAGGGTGAGAAGGGTCAGCTGTGATCCGAGCTGCACGCCCCAGTGTCCTGGAGGTGTACAGGTCCTGCAGAGATGGGAGTCTGCAGCCAATCACCTTCTCAGCAGAGCGCACAACACGCTGCAGTCTCTGTTTGTCCCTGATAGTGGCTCCAGCGTACCACACGGTGATGGAGGAGGTGAGGATGGACTGGATGATTGCAGTGTAGAACTGCATCATCGTCCGTGTTGGCAGGTTGAATTTCTTCAGCTGCCTCAGGAAGTACATCCTCTGCTGGGCTTTCTTGATGACGGAGGTGATGGTGGGCTCCCACTTCAGGTCCTGGGTGATGGTGGTACCCAGGAAGCGGAATGAGTCCACAGAGGTGATGGGGGTGTCAGTCAGGATGATGGGGGGGAGTGGGGCTGTGTGCTTCCTGAAGTCCACAATAATCTCTACTGTCTTCTGGGCATTCAGCACCAGGTTGTTGTGGCTGCACCAGGACACCAGACGTTCAACCTCCCTCCTGTAGGCAGACTCGTCCCCGTCCGAGATGAGTCCAATAACGGTGGTGTCATCTGCAAACTTGATTAGCTTGACAGACTGGTGGGTGGAGGTGCAGCAGTTGGTGTACAGGGAGAAGAGCAGAGGAGAAAGAACACAGCCCTGAGGGGAGCCGGTGCTGATGGTGTATACAGTGCTTTATATTCATATTCCTTTGAACAATTTAACTTCTGCATGATTTATCTGAAGTTTCTAAACAAACCAAAACACAAATGGTCAGGTGTGTGGGCCTGAAAACGTGGGACAGGTTAGCTGGTATAGATGGCAGCACATATTCATTGTGCAACTAACATCATTCTCTCATATATGCAACAGCTAAAAGTGTACAGGTGTGGCTCAGTGACCGGGCCCAGCTGAATCTTAATGACCGCAGTACAGCGTCTGACATCTGAGCCAAGCTTTGCTCGAGTTTCAAACGTAGAGCGAGCGGCGTGCTTTGACAGAGCAGCTCCACTCTCTCACTCCAGACTGCTGCGTTTATAA